AATTCACAGTTTAGTGTAATGAGTGACATATATGCTATCAAAGTCATAATCAATAATGATATTCCAACCGTGTCCCATCATTGATATCTCATCAACATTCCATTAAACCTGTGTCATCAGTGACATTACAGCCACAAAATTAAGTCATTTTCTACTGGTGGAATGTAACACTGATTATGCAGTGAAAGTATAGCCAAGTGTAAACTGACATATTTTAAAATAATACATTTTCTTTGATTATTTCAAAATAATTTGCCACCAACAGCACTTCATTATTTGCAAAGAGTTGCATCACAGACCATTGTTTTCACTGAGACACTATCCAAATGAGATAACGTCATGGCCATCACTAATACAATGACCAACAGCCTTGGAGACAGCCATGTGTAACCAGTAACATCAGTCAATCAGTAACATGGGTCATCAGTGACATCACGTCAATGTGACATCACAGCCACGGGTCATCAATGACATCATAACTTTGTGTCATAAGAGGACATGGATTATTCACCTACAATATGCTCAGGCATTCAATAAGATTATTACTCCCTTGGTCTCGTCTCAATCTAACTTTCCTGTCTCGCCTCCAATAAGTCTTGCTTTCTTTAACTATTAAAAATCTCTCCCTCGGCTTAAGGAAATTCTATGACCAAGCTTCTACCTTCTTGGGAAGAAAATTCCACAGTCTAATGCTTTGAAAGAAGAAATTTTTCCTCATCTCCATCTTAAATTGTGTCGTCCTAGCAGTAGTCACCTCTCAAGAGGAAACATCTTCTCAACTCCCATCCCATCAAGTCCTGTCAGGATCTTATGGGTTTCAGTAAGATCACCTCTCAATCTTCCAAACTGCACTGGGTAAAGGCCTAACCTATCCAACACATCTACACAGAAGAACACCTCATCCCAAGTATGAATTGATAGAATGTTCTCAGAACTGCTTTTAGGGCAGCACTGTGGCACTGTGGTTAACAGTGCTGCCTCACGGCACCAGGTAACCATGTTCAATTCCATCCTTGAGCAATTGTGTGGAGGTTCCATGTTCTCACCATATCTGCGTGGGTTTCCCTGAATGCTCCAGTTTCCACCCACAGTCTAAAAATGTGCAGATTAAGTGAATTGGCCATGCTACGTTGTGTATAGTATCCAGGAATGTGCGGGCTAGGTGAATTAGCTATGGGCAATGCAAGGCTACAGGGATAGGGTGAAGGGGGGTTCATCTGGGTGGGATGCTCTTCAGAGGGTTGGTGTAGACTTGATGGGCTGAATGGTCTGCTTCCACACTGTAGGGATTCTTTGATTCTATTTACTTATTTAAACAGGTAAACCAAACTTGTACACAGTACAAGTGATAGTGATCTCCCCAGTGCCCTGTACAGCTACAGCAAAACACCTTACTTTTACACTACATTTTCCTAATGTCAACAGTATGTTACTTTCCTAATTAATGTATCCTATCTCAATGAGAGATCCCTCTGCAACATGGAATTCTGTAATCTCTCTCCATTTACACAGATTACTACTTTTTTATTCTTGCTGCCAAAGTGAACAACCTCACATTTTGCCACATTTTAGTTCACCTGCCAACTTTTTGCCCAGTCAAAACACCTGTCTAGATTCTTTATCCTCTACTTTATTTTGAAAAAAAAGACAAATTACTTCCTTACTTTAATTGACACCATCAGAAAATAAATATACCATATGTTTGATACCTGCATTCATGTCTTTGATATGGATCCTAAATAACTGAGACCCCAGTACTGTTGCTGTTGCACTCAAATTATTCAAGCCTGCCAATCAGCCTATCTATTCCCAACTTCATGTTTGTCAGACAATAATTATCTATGCTAATATGATTACCCTTACACCATGTGCTTGTATCCTGTGCACCAGCCTTTAACGTGCCTTTTGGATTCCAGTTTACCACATCTACCTGTCTCCCTTATTCACCTTGCGGATCTACCCTTACTCTAACTAATTAGTTGAATATGATATCCCTTCCACCAAACCATGTTGATGCTGTCTGATCACATTGTGATTTTCTAAGAATTCTGCCATAATTTCCTCATTAAAGGATTCTAGCAATTAGTTAAGTTAAATGGCCTTTACTTTTTAACTTTCCATCTTTCTGTCTCCCTCTTTTCTTGAATCAAGGTGTTACATTGGCTACTTTCCAATATGGATGGGACCATTCCAGAATCTGAAGAATTTTAGAACGTTATAACCAATGTATCGGCTATCTTTGCAGCCACTCCTTTTAAGACCTTAGGAAGTTGACGATCTAGTCTCTTTTTTTTCTTATTCATTCACAGGATGTGGACATCACTGGCTAGGCTACCAATTATTGCCCAACCCAAATTGCCTAGAGGATAATTAAAAGTCAACCACATTGATGTTATGGGGATATGTCAGCATCATTTCCTTGGTGATGGTGATTGTTTTAAATTCCTCCCTGTTAATCATTTCATGATTTTCAACTGTGTCTGGGAAATTTTCTAAGTTTTCTATTATAAAGACAACAAAAAAACCTATTCAAAGCCTCCGCAGCATTTTTTTTCTATCATCAAATTCCAAACTCACTCTCCAGAAGATCAGCACTAGCTTTAGTTATTGCTTTTCTATTTAAATTCACACTGAAACTTTATCTACTTTTATATGTCTAGCTCACTCATTCATATATTCTACTCTCTCTTTCAAAAAAAACTAATTTCATATCTAATCTCTGACTCACTACCAAATTTTACTCATTTACATAAGGTTTCTTCCAATCTGATAATCTCCTGACATCTTTATGTAGCCACAGATGGTGTATACTTCTTGGAGAGTCTTTTTTTTTCCCCATTGGGATAAATTTTTGCTGAGTTAAATGTCTCTTTAAAAGTCCACAACTGAATTGTTTCAGTTCAACATTTTAACCTAGATTTCCTGCTTATTTTGTCTAGCTCTGCCTTCATATCATTATAATCATCTTTATTCAGGTTTAAAACACTAGTCTGAGACCCACACTTTTCCCTGCATACTCTGTTGTATGTGTAACTGCTTTTAGGGGTCTAAAAACTACTCCCACAAATGACCTCTTACCATTACTATTGCTTATCTCTATTCAAACTGATTATACATCTTACCCTTGCAGGCCAAGCTCCCCTCTCACTGCTGTACTAATTACATCCTTAATTAACAGAGCTAGTCCGCCATCTTTTCCTATGTACCTAACTTCCTGAAATGTCAAATATCTTTTAATACTCAAGCCCCAGCCTTGGTCACCCTGTAACCATGTCTACAGAATGACTATTGATACATATATATGGATCTCTGTGCGAACAATTCATCCATTTTGTTACTAATGCTGTGTGTCCAGGTACAGAATGTCTTTTCACCCTGTTTTCAATCTTTGGCCTTTTCTGCTGATACATTCTTAAGTTTGTAATTTCTGTACCTCCTTGCCACACTTTGGCTATCATTCGCAAAACTACTAGTATTACTTTAGTGTATCCCTTTGAGATACCACATCATATCTCACATGATGCTTTCGTCCAACTACTTAGCTTAAAGCCATGACATCAGAGGCATGTGACACCATGTGGCATTAGCAACATCAGATTGGCACAAGAAATGTTTTCCTGAAGCTGGTGATGTATTAACCCCGCAGGACATCACTGTATGTGGGCTTCTGTTATTTGGCCTGTGTTAAACCATGTTTTCAAAGCTCCTTATTACACCAAGCAGACTTAGATTTGTTGTAAATGCCCAGATGGTTGTGAGCAAGCCAATGAAAGGATAATCATCTCTCCTGCAGAACAGCAGTTCCCGAAATTTCATAGTGAAGGGGTTTTGCATCTCAAATAAACATCTGGCTTGTTGTCACTTTTCGATTATTGTCAACACTGCGTGGGAACGATATGATTTGTGCCTGTGGTGTAGTCAGTGCTTTCGGTTTAAATAAATAAATCAAAGACATTTAATAAGTAAATCATGTCAGTTGTTTATTGTGTTGCTAGAAACAGAATGAAGACAAATTATATTTTGTTGGGATGTAAATAAGGTCCGTACACACAGAAACTGTCGGAACCTTCAGTGTGTGAAATTCGAGGTCACTTTTTGTGAACTCAGGGGGCTGGGATGTTTTTGACAGGTGGTGTGTTCATAGCTTGCACCATGACTACGAGGAAATCAGATGAACCCATTTGAGCTTCTAACTATGACAAAACACAAAAGGATACAGATGTGTACAACATGGGCACAGCAGCGGAAGGAAAAGGAAACCGTGTCTTCCTGGAATACTTCAAACTGAGCGAACCTTCAGATCCTACAGTCACAAAATCTACCTCTTCTGCAAATGCACATGCCACAAACACTTGGCTCGATCCCTGTCGTCCCGTATCATTTTTTTTTTGCTGCATGTTTACATCATAATCTTAGCATGGAGAGCACAATGAAATGTCGAGCAGAGCTGGCACTCTGCTGTATCCTGTATTTAGGGGGAAACTGCAGAAGTGAATCCAGCGCTGATTAAAGCTGCAGAAACATACACCAATCGAAACGATTTGCTTTTCTTTATAAACAGTCACTTGGATCAGTGCTTACTATAGCTGTATCTTTCAAATGCAGTCTCTCTGCATGTGGCTACATGACATTGTCCAGCTGTAAGAAGTTGATCATAATTTAGAACATTTTTTCTTTTATTTCATCCAGCTTCAATGTCTACACTCCCCAACACAATCAAAAACATACTCTTTTTGAACTTGAATTTTAAACAGGGTGTTTTGTTGGGCGTATAGTTCCTCAGTGAGAAGTCAGAACCGAACTCAGCGTATTTAAACGTTGAATTATTGTTTAATGGGGGCGTTCTCGCGATTCACGTTAAAGGCACATTCTCAGAATACACCAGCATTATGCTTTCCTTCGGGCTCTAAGTTTTGCCCCATAGTTTAACTCACTGTTTTACAATATATTCAAACATAAAAGAGACCTTTAAAAAAAAACTGATACATATTACTGCTCACCTTTCAAAATGATTTATATTCCCAACACCCTTTGGATAACGGAAAGCAATTACTTTGTTTCATCCATCCTGTACTCCTCTTGCTCTCTCTCCCTCTCTCTTCATTCTTTGAAGCTAGATCTCTAAAACATATTTGTGGAGCCGTCCCTTCTGTACTTCAACCTCAGAGCGTATTTTTCAAATAAACTGATTCAGTCTAGAGTCGACATGCTGCAATTCAAACCCCATGCATTAACACATTTTCAGATCCATGGTCACTGCACTCTGACTCTTCCAGCCAGCTGGATGCTGACGTTTGAAGATGCTGACTTTTTCAGACAATCCTTGATTATTATTTTGTCTGGAATCGGAATCACAAATTCAAACATCTCCTCTCCTCTGACAGAATGCACTGCATTCAGCTCAAACAGCAGCCCAGACTAGTACTGCAAGCAGACTACACAATAAGCAATCGCTCAGCTCTTACCAGTGCCGGAATTTTTTTTAAAAATGCATATCCTCGTGTTGGTGCAGTCTTACTAATATCCCACAGTGTGTCTGCGAGACGTTGTTTCTGGAAAGAAACGATTATATGTGTTTGCTGCTTTATTTCTCCCCCACTGTCAGTGGCAGATCAGATTCCCCCTGGAGGTGGAATCAGTGATGTCTGACCCGTTAAAATCACCAAATGCACAAACACAGAGACACACTTGGACAGAAACACGCACACATAGACACACAAACAGAGCAAAACATGCATGCACACCTAAAGGCGCACAAAGACACATGCATGCTTTCTCTTACGCTCCACACATGCACCTTGCCATCGAAACACACCCCTATATACAATAATTAGAAGCCATTGGAATTTCACCTACACATACATACACACTCAGACCTACATTCACCATATACAGATAGTCTCAAAACCACCAACTCACATATGACTTTGGATGCAAACACACGCACACTCACACGTACACACATCTTGCCACAATTACACACACACATATATATATAATATATACCACAAATACCTTCTCCCCGCATGGCCTGTATATCCAAACACAGACACACACACAAAAACACACAGCACAAATACCCCCTCCCCCCAATGGCCCATATACATATAAAGATATAATACACACACACATGCACACATGCAGGAGCAAACATACACAGGCATACACACATTACACACACTGTCTAGACACATTTTCTTTTGCACACATCACCGTGACTCCCTATTTCAATTCTATTTACATTCATCAGGCCCAATCCTGTTTATCTGGTGCACTTAATATCCACTGAGGAATTATAAAGAGGGATTTTCCATCTCTATGGTAACTGATGTAAGGCTGATGAAGCATCTTCCACATCATTCTCCTTTTTCTTTTCACTTTATGTTTTCTTTTCATCTGTTATCTGATCTTCATCCTTTTCTTTTAATTTCTACCATCCTTTTTTATCTCTGGCTGCTTGCTAAATCTTAAGTTTTCTCCCATTCTTTTTATTCCAATTCCATCTTTTGCTCTGTTGCTCTTTGTTGTTCTACATCCCTCTCCATGTGTCAGACATGTCACTACCCAAAGAGTCTGTGTAACCGTGATAATCGATACACTGAAATACTAAGCATGGAGTTTCACTTTCATCCAATCTGTGCTTGACAAAGATTAACTAAAGGAAGAATGGACGGAATATCTTTGACCAGTAATTAGACTGGAGATTGCACAATGTCTGTAATCATATATTCACAGCTTGTTTAAAGTGACTGAGAAGCAGCTCTTTGGCAAGCCTCATTTTTGAATAAGCAGAAACATGAGTACAAAAGAATGACATCACAAACTGAGAAGGCAAAATCAGGACTAACTGGGGAATGCATGATGAGATGCCAGATAGAGACCCTAGGGACAGAGAATAACGCTCAATAAAGAGAGACAATAGATACATGTTGGAGACAGTTAAGATTTTATACATGACAGAGCTAGATATAATTTTAGGTGTGGCAAAATTCAACATAATGATATGCATTATGCTACAGCAAAGAATGATATGTACATCTTTCTGTTCATAGGACACAGGCACATTAATAAGGCCAGAACTTATTGCCCATTCTTGCGCTCTTGAAGTCATGATGGTGAACTGAATTTTTTAAACAATTGCAGACCATTTCGAGCAAGTACAGGAAGATCATTTCAGGATTTTGACCCAATGATAGTAAAGGAAAAGCAACATAGTTCCAAGTTAGTGTGCACTTGAAGAGGAACTCTTATGTCTTGGTAACGTTCTCATGCAGCTCCTGCCCTTGTCCTTCTAGTTTGTTGAAAATGCAAGTTTAAAAGGTGCTGTCGAAGGAGCCCTGGTGAGTTATGGCAGTGCATTTTGTTGATGGTGCATACTGCTGCCGCTGTGCGTTGATGGTTGAAGGAGTGAATATTGAAAGTGTTGGATGTTGTGCCAATCAACCTGACTGCTTTATCCTGGGTAGTGTCAACTAGTGTTGTTGGAGTTGCACTCATCCAGACAAGCAGGAAGTACTCCATCAAACTCCTGACTTGTTCCTTGTAGATGGTGGATAAGCTTTGGGGAATCTGAAGGTGACTTATTTGCTGTGAATTTTCTGGGTTCTGACCTCCTCTTGAAAAGTATTTATCCAGTTGTTTAGGTTTCTGGTTAGTGGTAATCTTAAGAATGTTGAGGCTGGGGGAATTCAGTAATTATAATGCTGAGCAGCATCAAGGTGTGATGGTTAGATACAGTCTTTTTTTATGATCGAAATGTAACTTGCTACTTTCAGCCTAAGACTGGATATTGCCCAGGTCTTCCTGTATTTGTTCATGGACTGCTTCAGTATCTGCAGAATTGCAAATAGTGCTGAACTTTGTGCAATCATCAGTGAATATCCCCAATTCTGATCTTATGATAGAGGGAAGTCATCGATGAAGCAGCTGAAGATGTTTAGACCTAGGACCCTACACTGAGTAACTCCTGCAGAGATATGCTGGAGCTGGGAGGGCTGACATCCAACACCCATAACCATCTTCCTTTCTGCCAGGTATGACTCCAACCATTAGAGTTTTCTCCTTCAATCCCATTGATTCTAATTCTACTCAGACTCCTTTGCAGCACATGGGGTCAAATGCTGCTGATGTCAAGATGTCCCATCTCATCACTGGAATTTAGATCATTTGTTCATATTTGAACCAAGGTTGTAATGTGGTCTGGCTGAGTGGTCATGGCAGACGCTAAACTGAATGTTGCTGAGTAGGTGATTGGTGAGTGTGCATTGCTTGATAACAGTAATGATGACAGTTTTGCTCACGATTTGTCCATTTTTTGTCAACAACCACATCTGGGCAATTTTCCACTTCGTTGGTCGATACCAGTGTTGTGGATGCACTATAAGCCTGGCCAGTTCTTGAGAACTAGTCTTCAGCTCTAACATGTAATGTGGTTGGTATTTATTGCCTTTGCTGTAACCAGCCCATTCATTTGTCCCACCCAAAATATCTTCAGTGTCGTTTATACCCTGAGCAGTGCTCATCATGGACAAGCACTGATTCATCAGTTCAGGGAGGTCAGAATGAGTTTGTTTGTCCATGTTTGCACCTTAACAGAAGCCTGAATCAATGTTGAGGACTCCAAAGGCAACTTTCTCCAGGCTGTATACCACAGTGTTACCACACAACATATACCCAGGAACAGTAATTGGGACAATGGTTGTAAATCAGTCAGGCTATTTCATGAATAGTTCATGGGGCAGTTCTGTCAATTTTGGCCTTTGGTGAAGAGAATGTCACAGAGTTGACTGACTTGGATCCACATTTGCCATTTCCAGTGCTGAGGTCTGGCGTATCTTGGTTGAATGATAACATTGTCAGTGTAAGGCAGAAGCATGGTATAAGAATTACATAAAATGATGGGCTTGACAGTTAATTAGAACAATAAATGTGAGGAGATCAGGTAAAGGGATAGACGTGACAGACTGGTAGACTGATAGGTATTGGCGTGAGGTAGAATGATAGGTGTAAGAACAAGGTAGATAGATGTGAGAGTACTACTTAGAATAATACCTGTCATAAACTTACACAGAATGATAGATGTGGTAGAATTGGGTTGAACAGTAAGGCTGATGTAAAAAATGTGCGTGAGGCATACATTAAATGATTGGTGTTGCAATATATATTTAACACTTTGATGTGACAGACCTGGGTTTGTAGATAAAGCTGAGAAAATTAGAATAACGTATAACAGATACTTATCAGAATAGCATTGAGAGAATTTGGCAATATTTTACTCTGACACTAATGGTCAAGGTAAACCAACATGCATTGCTCCAGCATTACAATCACTGAAAAATTGTAGAGAAAAATGTTGATGGGGGAAAGATAAGGTGAATATTGTTTCAGCAATTCAAAGACATAAATTACAGAATGGAGAGAAGCACATGGATCAAGATTTGCTCCATACAATCCATCTAGTTGCTAGGAGACCACATATCTAACATGCAAGGCCATAAGTGGACTGGGTAAAAGAATCAGCCCTTTAGAAGAAAGCAGAGAGAGAAGGACGTGCAGGACATAGGTGGAGAGTTCAGAACCAATGTTCTATTTCAGAGACCCAGCAATCCATAATTTGACATACAATCCATGCACTACTTATCCTTCTCCAGCAACAATGTAAGATATTTGAAGCCAATTAAATAAATAGACTGTGCACAACAAATAAAAAAAAGCGACATTGTGAGGGAATACTCCATAAACAGCTCACTGTTGTGTCAATTTGCTAGATATTGGCTTGATTTGATTTATTATTGTCACATGTACCAAAGTACAGTGAAAAGTATTATTTTGTATGCTATTCAGGCAGATCATATGTTACATATGTACATTAGGGCAATAGAACAGATGTAGAATATATTTTTATGAGTGCCTCCTGCCACTGTTTACTGAGTAGTGTAAATGTAAACTTTGCCCTCTCCAAAGGTTAGATCTCCTGTTAGTTAGAACTCTTCAAGCTTAAGAGTAACACACAAACGTGCAAATTTAATCTGCTTGCAGCATTTGGAGAAAGCAAAATGAATGAATTGCATGAGGTATGAATTGCATGATCTGTAATCCTGTAACACAATAGTGGGGTGGAGGTGGGGGAATGCAAGCAAAATAGATCAACAATTTCAAAGAAATTTGGATGGACACTAACTGAAATAACCCTGAAATACAATGTGGTGAGAGGGGTGAATGAGACTGACTGGATTGAAGAACCATTATGGATTTGATGGAACAAATAGCATCCTCTGTGAGTCTATGAGCAGAGTGGTACAAGACCAATCCCATAAATAATCAATGGATAGTGGAACTTGTGGAGTAGGTTAGCTCATCTGGCTAGATGGATGGTTTATCATGCAGAGTGCAGGCTCAAGTCACACATCAGCTGAGGTTACTACAAAAGTCCTGCCTTCTCA